GGCATGCCGCCAGACCCTTCTAGAGGCTCCCACCTTTGATGGTCGACTCGGTTGTCTCAGAATCCTAGGTATCACTATGGCCTGATCTGCTGCCCTATGGTGCATACTTATTAGTTAAACTATGCATACATATGCTGCAAGTAGCTGCAGCAACACATACTTGCCGACTGGAACTTCTCCAGGTCCCCTGCTAAATATGGCCCTTTCAGTTACACATCCTTACAGGGCCGTAGCAACCAGGGGGGGTTGCAATCCCCCCCCCCCCAATAATTTGCTAATAATCATTTTCAAAATCATGCAGACCTTTATCATTTAATCCATGACAAACTGCAAAGGATGAAGATATTACTCATATTTTCCTGCAACTTATCCAATATATAGTTCATTAAATACGCCTTCATCCATTTAGTACTACTAAATTGTAAATTTCAACACACTAAAACGCTGGTTTCTGACCATCAGAATTCTGTCAAATCTTCCCCAAAGTCCAGGAAATGGCACTTCAGAGACTTTACATTTAAAAATTTCCTCGGGCCTTCGGCCCTCGCTTTCAGACCCCCCCCCAATCGAAAAGAGCTTCCTATGGCCCTGCCTTAAAAGAGGCCCTGAACCAAATGTTATACCTCATAGCAATATATATTATTAAAAGCAATGCATGAAGCTAGAAAACTCAACGTTAACTATAATCAAAGAATCTAAATGGGTTGTTCCAGAAAAGATCCATACTCCCCTCACGGAGGAAATTTCTGCCGTCCCGAGGGGGAAGGGAGAAAAAATTGTTTCTGATAATAGTAAATGTATTAGGACATCCGAAGGGGGTAGGGGGGTTACCTTCCTATTTCCTCTGTGGGGGTGGTATGGATGTTTTCTGGAATAACCCAATAGCACAAGCTATTGAAAAAAAATGCTGCGAAAGAGAGTGGAAAAAAAACATACATGGTGATGGGATAGAAAACAACTTGCACATAACGATCCCAGAAAAAAATTCCCTGCCAGCAGTAAATCACCCCCCCCCCGCCCCTCTCAAAAGTTAAATGGTCAGCCCCTTAATTCATTCGTTTCTTAATAGTTTTGTCTTTTTACTGTAAAATGAAAAAAGTAGAAACTGTAAAATGACTAAAGTAAAAGTACTGTTACTGCAAAATGACTAAAGTAAAAGTTTGTAAGCAGTACTGTAGTGTATTTTAATGCAATTGTAATGTGTGTAGGTGTGTCAAGGCAGCAGTCAGTCTCATAAAATATACATATTATGCTGTTTATTAATTGATCTGTATTATTGAGGGCAGAACATATAACAATGTCACAATTTCTTGAAACCTAAAAGCCTGATTTACTCCATGAAGAAAAGACAAAGCTAAAATGATCCCAGCAGGTTGCAGTATTCAGTCAATATAACCAATACATTTTTTTGTGATTAGGCTGTTAGATTTCACACAGATCCTATAATACTAGAGACCCTTTACAATTAAATTGTTTTTACACAATGAAATATAATGCATATATAGAAATGCAACTGAAAGTAACTGTTTGCAGCATTGTTCCATCTTCACTTTATCCTGTCTCTATAGGATCTAAAAAGCACAGAAATGAGATACCATTATTTTACAACTTTCAATTTCTTTCAAATTTATTAATTTTAATCTGCTTCTTTGGAATAAAACACCATTGAGGTCTTCTCAGAAGAGTGATAATTAATAATCATGACTATGACTTTAATAAGGAACATAATATTACACAAGCAGGGATGGTATGGTATATATTCTCACAAGGCATTGCGTTTAAGCACCCACCATTAACATAAATAAGATCACTACAACGCACCTGCTATTTTTTCTACCATCCTGAACCATTTGTTCCTTTAACAAATCCCACAAGCGACATAAATTGTTTGCGTTGATAGAAACAAATATGAGGTGATATGAGTATATTATGATCTTGTCCATATAAAATTCACCATTTCCAAAACAATAAAGTTCATGACCAATTTCTCATGTGTTAACTTATGGTATAATTCACCGATCTCTATCAGAAATTCCCATTTGAAAGGTGTTGTCACGACTGTATTCATGATTCATCTCAGTCGCACTCAGAAACGTCGTCAAAAATATAGACACGTTTCTTTACGATTGAGTTCATTTGAATGTAAAAGAGGTCCCCAACATTCTTGAACATGTGCTTTTGCTTAAAATACCATATTTGACTTGATTTGTTCCTCTATTGCGAGATAACAGAACAAAAGAGTTGAAAATACCGTATTAATCACTATAGCTCACTCCTCAAGGTGGTCACAGTAAGATGGCGGCCGCGCGCGACTTCCGGCTTCAATTTCTGTATCTATAGTTGCGCTCTCCATATATTTATAGCTCAGTGATCCCAAACCTTCCAACGCTTCATGGACGAAGTTACTCGTGGCCTCGATTTCGTTTATGTGTATATTGATGACATTCTCATCGCTAGCACGAACGCCCTCGAACACGAAGTCCATCTACAATTACTTTTCGACCGTTTTCGACAGTATGGTGTGGTGATCAACCCCGCTAAATCCGTGTTTGGTGTTTCATCTCTCGAGTTCCTTGGACACAACGTTACTGCACACGGTATTCAACCCCTTGACTCGAAAGTCAAAGCCATCCGTGATTTTCCCCTCCCTACGTTGCTCACCAAACTTCGAGAATTCCTTGGCCTTGTGAATTTCTACCGCCGGTTTATCCCCCAATGTTCTCACACCTTCAGCCTCTCACTGACATGCTCGCTTCCACAGGCTCCACCAAGAAGACAAATAACACCCCACTCCAATGGTCCAAACCAACCACCTCTTCTTTTCAGAAGATCAAGAACGCCCTTGCTGATTTCACTCTACTTTCACACCCAAAATCTGACGCTGAGCTGTGCCTGATGACCGATGCCTCCGATGTTGCAGTTGGTGCCGTTCTACAACAACGAGTCAACAACGTTTGGCAACCACTCGGTTTCTTTTCCAAACGCCTTCAACCAGCAGAAAACCCGGTACAGCACCTTTGGACGCGAACTCCTCGCAGTGTACCTTTCTATCCGCCACTCCCGCCACCACCTTGAAGCCCGCCAGTTCTCTGTTTTGACCGACCACAAACCGTTGACCTATGCCTTACACAATTCCCTCAACCGTCATTCACCTCGAGAAATTCGCCACTTGGACTTCATTTCCCAATTTACAACCGATCTCCGTCATGTTAGTGGGAACACCAACCCAGTTGCCGATGCCTTGTCACGTATCGCCACCCTGACTCCTTCGTCCACTGTCGATTTTTGACGCCATGGCCCGTGCTCAACACCACGACGAAGAACTCAACAAGATTCGAAATGATTCTTCGTCCTCCACAATGGAATTGCGAGATCACCCTATACCCACCTCCAAGAACCATATTACCTGCGACATTTCCACCGGTAAACCTCGACCTTTTGTTCCCAAGGCCTTTCGCCGCACCATTTTCGACTCCCTCCACAACCTTTCCCACCCAGGCATCAAGGCAACACAACGCCTGATCACTGAACGATGTGTTTGGCCCAGCATCAACCGCGATGTACGACAGTGGACCAGATCATGTCTACAATGTCAACGCTGCAAAGTTCAACGTCACACCTGTGCACCCCTGTCAAACTTTGAGATTCCCACCGCCAGATTTTCCCATGTCCACATCGATCTCGTTGGTCCTTTACCCCCTTCAAATGGCAATTCCTACCTCTTGACCTGCATTGATCGTTTCACTCGCTGGCCTGAGGAAATTCCCATTTCCACCATCACAGCAGAATCCGTGGCCCAAGCCTTCATCACCCATTGGATCGCACGATTTGGCGTTCCACACACGATTACTACAGATTGTGGAAAACAGTTCGAAAGTCATCTCTTTGCTGCCCTAACCAACTTCCTTGGCACTACCCGTGTTCGAACTACCGCCTACCACCCCATTGCTAATGGTCTCGTGGAACGTTTTCATCTCCAATTGAAAGCTTCTCTTAAAGCTACCAACGACCCCTCGCACTGGAGTGAACGCCTACCCCTCGTTCTCTTGGGTATCCGGAACGCAGTGAAAGCTGATTTTGGCCACAGTGTTTCAGAACGAGTTTACGGAACGACCCTCTGTCTACCAGGAGTATTCTTTTCCCACTCCACCGACCACCCTGTTCCAGATCCTGCATTCTACGTCGACCGCCTCAAACGAACCCTTAACGACCTGAACCCCCCACCAGACCGCCAGCAACGCCACAAATCACATGTTCCAAAAGATCTACAAACGTGCACCCACGTTTTCATCTGTCGTGACGCCGTACGAAAGCCTTTGCAGCCTCCGTATGATGGCCCATTTAAAATTATTTCGCGATCACCGAAATATTTTAAAGTCGACCTTGGCAATTGCACTGATACGGTATCCATCGATCGTTTGAAATGTGCGCATCTCGACACAGATCCTGGCTTGCCTTCTTCTACTCCAGCTACACATACTACATCTACAACTACAGAAGTACCTCAAGTTCGACGAACAAGATCTGGCCGACATGTCCACTTTCCTGAGCGTTACATGGCAATCGTTTGTCGTTAATTTTATTAACTTCTTCACTGGAAGGGGGCTACTGTAGTGATATTTACCCGATATCACTAAGTGGATATTATGCTGTTTTGGCTCAAAGACATTAATAACTTTTGGAACTTCTACAAACATTATTTTCAGTCATATTATTTTAAACCTTTTAGGAAGTAGACTCGCCTAGATTTAATCTTTACGCCGCAAAAACTATTAACATAAAATTTCCTTTTGGCAGCCAACACTTGTACATATTTATATCTTGTTATCACTTCTAGCCTAACTGTATTAACGCGCCTTAATTATCTTGACACTAATCTTAATTGCTTTTCCGCCTCGCCTCTTCTAACTCGCGTATAAAATAACTTGTAAATATTCTTAGTAGAACAGTCTTACTTAGCTTTGCGCTCTAGCGAGTAATTTTGCTCAACTCATTACTAGATATTAAATGACGACTCCACAATAGTGAAGTAAAATAAATGTATCAAATTATCTATTAGCGTTCTACGTATTTTCACAAACACTATAACAAATCAATACTCGCGCTAAACAGTCATCCAGATACCAATGAATAAAACATGCATTTCGTCAAGATTCCAATCCCGACTAGTACAATTACTGTGGGATTGGTATTATAGTCTGATACAGTCATCCAGATGCCAATGAATAAAACATGTATTTCGTCAAGATTCGAATCGCAACTAGTATAATTACTGTGGGTTTGGATGAATAAAACATGTATTTCGTTAAGATTCCAATCCCAACTAGTATAATTACTGTGGGATTGGTATTATAGTCTGATACAGTCATCCAGATGCCAATGAATAAAACATGTATTTCGTCAAGATTCGAATCGCAACTAGTATAATTACTGTGGGTTTGGATGAATAAAACATGCATTTCGTCAAGATTCCAATCCCGACTAGTATAATTTCTGTGGGATTGGTATTATAGTTTGATACGTACAGTCATCCAGATGCCAATGAGTAAAACATGTATTTCGTCAAGATTCCAATCCCAACTAGTATAATAACTGTGAGATTGGTATTATACTATAGTCTGGTACAGTCATCCAGATACCAATATATAAAACATGCATTTCGTTAAGATTATAATCTCAAGTAGTATGATTACTGTGGGATTGGTACTATAGTCTGATACAGTCATCCACTCAGATACCAATAAATAAAACATGCATTTCGTTATGATTCCAATCCCAACTAGTATAATTACTGTGGGTTTGGATGAATAAAACATGCATTTCGTTAAGATTCCAATCCCAACTAGTATAATTACTGTGGGATTGGTATTATAGCCTGATACAGTCATCCAGATACCAATGAGTAAAACATGCATTTCGTCAAGATTCCAATCCCGACTAGTATAATTAGTGTGGGATTGGTATTATAATCTGATACAGTCATCCAGATGTCAATAAATAAAACATGTATTTCATCAAGATTCCAATCCCAACTAGTATAATTACTGTGGGATTGGTATTATAGTCAGATACAGTCATACAGATATCAATGAATAAAACATGCTTTCGTTAAGATTCCAATCTCAACTAATATAATTACTGTGGGATTGGTATTATAGTCTGATACAGTCATCCAGATACCAATAAATAAATAAAACATGCATTTCGTTAAGATTCCAATCCCAACTAGTATAATTACTTTGGGTTTGGATGAATAAAACATGCATTTCGTTAAGGTTCCAATCCCAACTAGTACAATTACTGTGGGATTGGTATTATAGTCTGATACAGTCATTCATGATACCTCATCCACTTGTATTAAATTTCGCCGCGAGATATAATCCGCGCGAAAGCTTTATGGTGTAATATGAGTGTATGAGTTTTGGTCATGTGTCGTGCGTCGTGGGTAAAACGTCGTGCGTAAAAGTCGTGGGTCGAAAAATGCTGTAATAGGCCTTAGGATGAGCATCGAAAAGATGCAATTCCGTTGCACCCCTCGTGTAACTACGTAATTTTCACATGAATAAATAGATAAAAACTTACTTTATCAGAATTCGTTGCTCCCCAAGCGAAACAGGTGCACAATTGGGAGAAAAATCCCTCCAAAGTTTGATATTTTCGCGCTTCGAAATACTCGAACCGCCATTGTTTTGGTAGCAAATACGCATGCGCAACTCAGCCAAACTCGCACTGCGCGCAGACTATAAAAATAGATTCTCACTGTGGGGTTTCCCCGATTTCCTCCGCAAAAACAACAAAATAAAATCACGGAATACTGATCAAACCTTGTAATATAAATACACCCACATTAAATACTGTTTAAAACACATTATATATTTTGCTTGCTCATATGCTAACTTCAATTCATTGGCTATTGTTTCAAAATACCGTTTAACGTTTAATTCTACTTTATATTAACATCCTAATTCAATACAAATTTGTGTGAGGTAAAAAGCCCACCTGTATCAAACAGGACGGAGAATAAAAAATATATATACATGCAATTCACACGATATGATCAAGGAACAAATGAAATATTTCGCTAAACTTAAAGCCTTGGCCAAACGTAAGAAACAATGTCGCGGAAATATTCGTGATTTTATGATGGGCTTTTATTGCAGAAGCAAAATTTGCTTCCCAGAAAGCAAACAATTTCCTACCAAATTCAGAGGCATTTGATGAAACACTCTTTATCCGTTTGCCGACGCTGATAAGACAATGTGACATACCGAAAGATTGGAAAGACAAATAATATGACAACAGTGTTTCCCAGTTCGTCCCAGGCTTTAAGGGATATTTATATAAACTCCTAGGAAAACTTCTGATTGAATCTTTAATGTATTATTGAATAACTGTGCAAGATGTTTGGCGCTTCTTAAACTGTGCGTTCCACCATCGCTTAGTATACTCTATTGATACCAATCCTGGATTTGGACCATCTGTTCCAACCGACGAAGCCGGACTGGCACCAGTGAAGGACCTTGAACTGTGAAAGAAACATGTCCCAGGCACCAACTCAAAAATTCATTATAAAAAAAAAATTGGGAGGAAATATAAAATCCATAATTTTATTATAACTATCTATAATTGAAAGAAATGTTTTGATCTTTGAACCCAGATTTTTATCAGAGCAATATATATTATAGTATATTTATATTATGAATGAAAATTTTGGGAGTTAGAGCTGATGTAATTTATCGCAACCCACATACACATACAAATATTTGCCATAAGATTCTCATCAGCCAGTAAGCCATAAAAGATCCGTAGCAAGAACTTTGCTTCAAAGAGCTGAATCCATGCCGTCAAACAGTGACGATTCTCAAGCTAATGAACGTGAATATGTACTAAATGTTTTAGGGGAAAACGATTACCTAAAACGTTTTCTCAATGATTGTCTGAGATCAGCTGTTTGTAAGAACCAAAATAACTCCGAGGGTGATACGTACCTCTGCTAAGGGTTATGCAATAGTTCCATACATTCGAGGTGTCACAGAACCAATCAAGAGAATCTTAAGTATAATTTTAATACTAAGGTTGCCTTAAGTCCTATTTGACTTTAGGCCATATTTTCGCAAAGCCAAAAGATACTGTTTAAACAAATCAGAAAACTCATGCTGTATATTCTATACCATGCGGTGAATGCGAGAAGAGTATTTGGGTCGGTCTAAACGCCAGTTTGGTGCACGGCTAAAAGAACATCAAAAGGCTGTTTCAACATTAAACAAGGGAAAATCAATTTTAGCATAACATGTTTGTGACACCAAACACAAGATTGCGTGCGAAAACTCTGAAGTAATTACCACAAACAATCGCTGTGGTCAAAGACTATGCCTAGAAGCGTGGTATATAAATCATTGAGTAATCATACTTTGAATAGACATGACGGTGCTTATTTGCCAGAGGAATATATGCATCTCATTGGCAGGTGACGTCATCCCTTGGGTATTTAAGAAGTCACGCGATTGCAACTTTAGATCACCCCCGATGAAGACACTAGATTGGAGTGTCGAAACATTGAGTCTTGATTACAATTCGACTGGGCTTTGTAATCATTTACTTAAACCAGAATAGCGAACGAAAACATGATAGTATACATGTCTTGGAGTGCATTGGCCAACAACTCGACAACGGAAAACAGACAGACATAATTTACTTGGACATGAGCAAAGCATTTAACAGCGTTTGACATGATGTACTATTGGACAAACTACAAAATATTAGTATTAGGGGAAACCTCCATTCTTGGTTCTCTTCCTATCTATCCGGATGGAAATAACGTGTTACTGTTCCCGGCGATACTTCATCTTCCCTCGCAGTTACTTCAGGCGTACCTCAAGGTTCTATCCTTGGACCTGTAGTATACTTCTCTACGTTAACGATATACATGATACTGTCACCACTCCTTCTGTTTCCTGTTTTGCTGATGATAGTAAACTATTTAAAACGATTAACTCCTAAACGGACGCAAATTCACTGCAAAATTATTTAAATAATCTTAGCACTGCATGGTCAACATCATGGGGGTTAAACTTCAACGAACTTAAAACACATTGTGAGACAGTTATTACTCGCGGAATAAATCACCTTTAATCCATGAGTATACTGTAAATGGTAAGCCCATTGGAAGACTCGACGAAGAGTCTGAAGAAGACGTTACCTACCCGTACTCCAAGGTTACGTGTCAAAGAAGTCCCAGGTAGGTGCACAAACCTGAGCAGCCAACAAATCTCTTGACTGTGGTCGCCGCTATGTGACATTAATGACGTTAAAGTTCACCGTACTCTATACCTTGCCATTGCTCGTCCACATCTCGATTGTCGTGCTTATCTCTCTGTCTGATCGATTAATTCTTTGCGATATTACGAACAACAAAACACTTCAATCCATTGGACTTCAGGAATCAGGGCAATCGATAAAATCAGAAAGCTCGCCGAGTAAACGTTGACAATCAAAGCGCAGACGCTGTGTAGATTGATGACAATCGTTTATACGCAATCTCAGGAAAGAAAAAACAGTGTTTTCCATTAGCTTGTAT